GTGGGAAGGGGGTGTTCCAGCCCACTTGTGCTGGAGTGCCCCCACCACCCACTGTGGCTGGGCTGATGTGATTTCCCTGCCCTCCCACTCCACCTCCCAGGGCTCTTCCAACCCATCCGCTACCAGCCCCACATGTGGCTGCTGGCTCCCAGCCCATAAGGGATCCCGGATGTTATCTGTTAACATCCCTACTTCTGAATCCAGTCTAGGAGACCTGAGGGAGGTTTCAAGGTTATTAATAATCAAAACCTGTCTCTAAGAAGAGAGTCCAGAAAGGAGCGAATGCAGGCAACCCTGCATCTTCTTAGTCCCTCCCAATTCCTTAATGTGTATTGTTCACATCAAAACAAAATCCCCAACACCTTAATCACAGAAGTGCCCCATTGTAATTGATGGGCAGCAGGAGTCCCATAAAATTAAATTACTCTTAGTCCAGGTAACTCAAGCAGATGACACTTGCTTATACACTTGTGAACAAGCACAAAGTACCCATATGTCACTTTCAGACATGATGAAAACTGAAGCATCATCAGCACAGGCCAATAGATAATCCAGGAAATCATCAGACATCCACCATCCGTAGCACAGATAAACCAATTAAACAGCTTCTAAGGAGGTACATGAATGGCTCCAGCCATTTGGAGCATACAACAGTTGGGCGTACAACTTCTCAGCGTGAGGGCACCTTGACATAGGCTCCTGCAGACTGGGAAGCAATGGCTAAGACTCCCATTAATCATTAAAAAACTAAAAAAGTTATAGTATAAAAAAGAAATATGACGTGAACACTAGACCAATCCAAAAAGCTTCTAACATTTTTAAAAGATCATTATGGTTATCTTTTATCAGATCACTTCTTTAGGTCCATTGAAACAAGATGTGTATCCAGATTAAAAAGTGCTAACAATAAAAAACATCATGAATTAAGAACAAGTGAAAAACATACAGCTATTGGAAATATGACATATTTGATCAGGATGTATCAAAAAGTTTATATAATCCTTTAGCCAATTGACTATAGACCAGGATAAAAATCTTACAATAAGAGCAGAGAAGGGAAAATAGATCTTCAATTCTGTAAATCACAGAGATTCCCTTTTATGTACAATCCTGGGCAGGTCTTTCTCCTGAATACATTCCGGCACTAGTGGGGGAGGGGGGGGGGAGAAAGAAGGGCCAATAAAGTGCCATAAATGTAGAATTCAGATGGCGGCCCATTGATGCCTGGAGAGAGATGATGTACTGCAACAGAGAGCTCCTATAATGACAGTCACCACTGCATCTCATCAGTTAGATTGGTTATTCCCTGGTACAGGCACCATGGCACAGGGGTCAGGTGAATACAGAAGTATTGTAAAAGGATAAACCAATCAAACAGCATCCAAGGGGGTACAGGAATGGCTCCAACTGCTTTCTGGATCTCAGCAGTGTCAGTCATCAACGACCATCTAGTGGCCAAAGACAAAATATCTGCTGATGGGCCACTGCCTTTTTTCTTCAACATGAAGAAAAAAAACCTTCTGGGAACATCAGTATCCTATAGCTGAATAAAATGGGCCCAAACCAGGGCATTTTGCACTTCTTGTCCAATAGGTATCTCAGGAGTCAGGACATCTCATTTGGAGTGTGGTGAAGCTTTAAATGTTTCTATGACTCTTTGGCTGCCATGAAGATCCAAGGTATCTCATTCCAGGACACTCATGACTTGATACCAGGACCACATGGCAGCTGGTGGAGCTGGACCTTCTTGACACCCTACCACTGTCTTAGGGATCTGAACAGGGGATTTTGCTACTTCCATGCTCCCAGCCCACAGTAAATAACTGCATGAGACTCAAGTCCTATAATTTGGTGTTAAAGAACCAGTGAGACACGTAGGCAGGAAGAGGGAGAAACACACTGAAAGAGTCATGATGATGATCAGACAAGTATGTGGACCAAACATAGCACCAAACAAACATATTCAGACTGTCTTTCATGGTATAAAAGTGATCCAGTCTAACCTGAGATGTGGTTAGGTGTTGTCTTCAGCCAAGAGTACTGCCTAACAGCAGGGTGAAAGAATAAACATCTACTAGGCCAAAACTCTGCAGCTGACAATACCCTGCCTGACAGAAGATGTTGTTTCTTGTGGCTCATATCTTAAACATAATCTACAGTGAAACTGAAATCCCCTCCCAGGATACTAGCATGAGGTTCAAAGTCAACAGGGAAGTGTCAAAATGACTGCAAAAAAGGAGACACAATCTCCACCCCAAGAAGGGGCATACACAGTAAAAAGATTAAAAACAACAGTGTGTCTCCACCTGGAGGAATTGACCCTGTACAATTTTATGTACAGACAGGATCTGTGCCCCTGTGCACCATAAAAAGAGAACAGAACAGCTACCACAACAGTGCATACAGTCATAGGTTAAGAAAACTTCCCCTTTCCATTCCTTCAACCAGTTCCCGTCTGAGCCAGTCTCTTACAAAAGAATTAGATCAGCTCATTTTTGATTGAAAAATTCTATGAGCCCTGTTATGACCATTCCAGCCTCAATTAAGAGCCAAAGTTCAGCAGCATCATAGATACTAGAAAAGGAGAGCCAAGAAACAGTGAGAAATAATAGAAAGTGGAAGTCTCAATTAAGAGCCAAAGTTCAGCAGCACCATAGAGACTAGAAAGGGAGAGCCAAGAAACAGAGAGAAATAATAGAAAGTGGAAGAAACTGGGAAAAATGAGCCTTTGGGAGGCCAATATATTTTGAATAAACCCTGCACACTTCACCTTGCTCCTCAACTTTTTGAGAAGGAAACATTTCCTATGACCAACAAAGGTCTCTTTCAAGACAAGGGAAGCTAAATGAACAAAGTGTTGTAAATCAGGGAAATAGGACTCAACCTCAAATTCCCACTTCCCCTTCCAAAAAGTCACTAATCTCCTGCATAATTCCTAGATAGCCAACTAGCCGCCTTTGGGAACCTGTGAGGAGTCAGAGATCACCACAAGCTCTTCTATCACTCTCAGACTCCACCAGCTCAGAAGAACATTGTGCTGCTATTGTAACATTCTCATTATTTATGAAGGAGAAAGATCAATTGGCAGCGGCTGGCATATCCTTTCCCCAAAGCAGTACACTGCAGTATGCAGGATCTGGGGCTCAAGGACTTACTATGTGAGAGGAAAAGAGCACTTACGCATGGAGCAATAACTCAGCACAATGCTGTCTTCATCCTCAGGGTACACAGCTCCATCCTCAGCCACTGCCATAATCTCATGTGCCTCCAAAGTCTTTACCCAGAAACAGTCCCTCCTAAATCCATCTCATCTTCACCCTCATCTCTAGAATCTCACTCCACTTCCTCTGCACATCCTCAATCTTTACGACTTGCTTCATTCCAGGCACAAGTTGTGGAGTCACAATAGAGGCTTCTTTTGGGGAGTCTGCTTCCTGGACAACAGCAGACCATATACAACAAGTGGGAGGATTTACTCAATAGGTACTGATGTAGATTCTGTCTCCTTCTGGTCCCTCCCCCAACCCTTCTTCCAACTATCTTGAGGTCTCTCACATTCTTACCAGGGCCCCCAAGTCAGCAGTGAATGGGCAGAAAGCCCTCAAATGACTAGGGTCTCCATTCAGGAAACATTTCGTATTTTCAGAGGTAGCCCCATAATCTGCCCCATCTACATGGTGCCTTAACACCAGGTTCACAGTTACTTAGGATCATGTAAACCTGGCACCAGAATGATATAACATGCTATTTGGGATCCTGCAGCCCAACAGAATTATCCAAACAGCAGAAACTACCTTCCCATAATGGGAGATATCAGACATTCGGGTCACAATGAAGCAGGGGGGGGAAGGGGTCATTGGAAAAGCTACTTTAGTAGAAGGATGAAACAAGGGAAAAATTGGAACTCCTTAAGCCAGAGTCCTCTTGTCCCAAATTACTCAGATTCATTAACAAAACTGACCCAGACCCAGGTTTCTGCTACCCAGCAGATCTCACCCAGCTTATCAGTTTCCATTACAGTTTCACACTGGCTCCTAGCAGGAGGGGGGAGAGGACATCACTGAGAGATTTGCAATATTAAATGATGATTTTGTAAGGCTGATGTACTGGGTATCAGTGACTGTTGGAGAATATTTTCTTCCTGCCTATTCTATTTCCAATTTACTCTTCACTAGTTTTTCCGTCTTTCAACTAAATCAGTATTGAAAAATTGACTACTGAGCAAGAAATCTAGTTTAAACATTTCACATATCAATCATTTCACAACCTATGATGTCCTAAACACTGCCAGTAGCCTTTTAATGGACAGAAAAGGCCAAGTATCAGAGGGGTAGCCGTGTTAGTTTGAATCTGCAAAAGCAAGCAGGAGTCCTGTGGCACCTTATAGACTAACAGATTTATTGGAGCATAAGCTTTCGTGGGCAAAGACCCACTTCATTGCCCACGAAAGGTTATGTGAAATGGGTCTTTGCAGGCAAAAATAAATGCTCCAATAAATCTGTTAGTCTATAAGGTGATTCAGGACTCCATGTCGCTTTTGCAGAAAGGGCCAAATTACTCAAGGCTCCTCCACGTGTTAAAAATTTGAATAAATGAAAAAGGGCCCAAAAGCATAAATCAATGTTTCTGAGTGCTGATGGCTGCACTAACCAAGATTGTTGGAAGTGGCCTTTGAAAATATTACTTCAAGTTACAGCTCAGGACTAAATTTTCACTGCAGTTGTACTATTTAGTTCTGGTTCCATTCAAAAAATTCATGAGTAAGTTATACTTACACTCAGGCATTTACTGGTATCTATAGTTTAGATGAATGGCAATTGTTTCTGAAAAGTTGGCCCTTACCAGATGTTAATGGTTTAAAATAGCAACTTCAACTCTGACCCTGGACTAAAATGGGCAGGCAAACGTGACAGGGCTGCGAGAGGCTGTGGTCTCCTTGAACTACATTTCCCAAGTACTTCTGCCGCTGGGCTCCCACTGGCTGGCCTGTCACTGACATCATGTGTTTTGGCTTTGGCAGGTCACATGTCTCTCAGGGTCTCCTTTGTTTTGAGTTGAGCCGGAGCTAGGATCACAGACCTAGCCACAGAAAAGGCAGAGCAAGAGCAGCCCGGCGGCCCAGCAGCAAGAGCCCGGACTGGGAGGTAAGCGGCGCCTGGGCTTGGCTGCCAGCGAATGCCCCCCCGGCGCGTTGGGGACGGCAGACGCTGGGGCCAGGAGGCACCGGCTTGCCAGCTGCCAGCCTGGCGGGATGTAAAGCACAGCAGCCCGGACGCTACGGCCAGCAGCATCCGCGGCACCGACCCCGGCTGGAGCAGCCCCC